CCCTCCTTGTTGGCGAGAACAAGGTCCAGCATATCACCTCTCCTTGTTGGCTCCTCTATCACTTGGAGAAGGAAGTTATCATCAACGTGTTCCAGGAACCTCTCGGATTGTTTATGCCCTGCCGTGTTGTCCCTCCAACAGATATCAGGGTGGTTGAAGTCCCCCATGAGGGCCAAGGCTTGTGAGCATGAGGCTGCTCCTATCTGTCTATAGAGGGCCTCATCCACTCTGTCTTCCTGGTCGGGTGGCCTGTAGCAGACCCTCTGTAATGTCACCTGTCCCTGCCCCCACTTTAATCCTGACCTATAAGCTCTCGGTCAGCTCCTCATCCATCCGAGGCAGAGCTCCATGCACTCCAGCTGGTCACTGACAGAGGGCAACACCTCACTCCTCGTCTCCCCTGCCTGTCCTTCCTAAAGAGCCTGTACCCTTCTGCTCCAACACTCCAATCATAGAAGCCATCCCACCACGTCTCCATGATGCCAATAAGATCGTAATCATTCTTGTACGCAAGTTACAGGAAAACTAGCCCTGCTTTGCAGAAGCTGATGAGGTCTACAGCAGTGTCTCAGGACAGCCAGGACTACAGCCTCAACAATCCCTCCTCCTTCATTTCCCTCCCACAGCCAAGCAATGGGTTAACCAACAACTGGTGTATCTATGGAGCCCTAGTATCAACCAGCCTCAGCTTGGGAGCACAGCAATGCTCACATGCAATTCAAGAACTTATTACACTCTCCACATCACTGAAAAAACCAAAACAAAACCACACAGATTTTATATAGTAGACAACTAAAAATCAGGAAAAGATTATTTTGGTTAGAAGAAAGGAAAATGCAGCAGAGAAGCATATAGTGATAAAGGAATGAAAATACTGTCTGTCAGTGTTTAATGGCTTACAACCTTAAAAACTGTTCTAATCTGTCAAAGAAAGATCACTTAAGCATCTCTGCCAGTGACCTATTTTACAAGTCATGGTTTTCGTATGACCCACAAAGTTTCTGATGATATTTGGTGGGGGAAAGAGAGCCTTCAGAAGTGGGCTAACACACATTAGTTCAAAAAGCTTCCTGCCTACTTACAAAGATACATACAAAGTGTTCTGGAACTTTCTGGTTTTGTAAACAAATTTTTGGAACACGGCAGGGATAATGTTGTTAGCATTCATGGCTAAAACAGGTTTTTTGCAGATTCTCCCAATGTAAGTACAATGATAAAACAGCCTGTCCTTTCTATTGGAGTCAACATGTGTTAAAGCTGTCAGCCCTCTAAAGGCTGCAGTACTATCGACAACTAATTAGCTGTCTCTCGATGTCCAGGTGATACGGACAGGCTGATCTCCAGCTTTGAACAGCCAAAAGAGCTCAGAGGTAGACAGACTGACTGTGGGAGCAAACTATGGGGGAAACCAGGCAAATCTCTGTTCTCCAGGCAGATGGCCCGTGGAAAATAATCCCGAGGAGAGTAAACAAGTCCCTGCCAAGAACTTCAGACTAGAGAGAAGCAATGATTTGTGAACTTCTAAAAGATACTGAAGTCCAACATCTGGAGAACAATCTTGGGCTGCCAGACCCCTGAGCCAGCCTATCACTCAGAGAACGGGCAAGATCAAATTCTTGCCAAATGAAGCAGAATATCCCTTTCTTTCATATGGCACTTTTGTGTTTGTTGAAATAACGCTGTTAATTTCCACAGTAACTACATGAACATAACCCACTGCCTTTGCCACCTCTGCTGACTTCGGAGTGCTATACGTGCACGCACAGGGATGAGATCATGCTCTCTGATGGATCAGCACTGGTGTTCCACATATACCTTACATCTTTCTCCAAGTTGCCTTCAAAGTCAACATTACAAGAATATTTCCTTACCAGGAGGATCAAAAAGAGCAAGAAATTTGAGGGCAGCGCAACAACAAGATGTACGAAACATAGTTCAACTTCTAGACATTTACTAAGAATACAATAAGCTAGGTGACTGACCTTTTCTTTCAGTTCTCCCAGGAAAGCTGCGTTTTGCCCAAGAATGAATTCTGCTGACTCTTGGAAACAAGTCACCCACTGATACTCTAGACAGTCTGCAATGGTCACCTAAAAACCAACAAAAACCCAAAAGGTTATTTCATGCCGTTGCCTATTCCTCAAGGAAGACAGAACAAAAGAAAAATTTCACAGCTATAGAGAGTTTTAAATTTCCAGTAACTATCACAGCCTTACGTACCGTACATACTTTCCATCACCGAGGGTAGAAGGCAGTGAGTTACTACTTTTTTTTTTTTTTAAAGCGCCATAGAATGTCACAGTAACTTAACGCAAGTTAATATTGACAGTACGTTGTGTCACAGGAAAAGGCCAACAAGATCACAGTGGTACACACTGACGGATATTCAGCTCTGTTCTGCTGTCACTGATGAGCTGTGAGCAAGAACAGGTAGGCCAGAACAACAACCACCAGCGAGACTGCAACCTGCATTTACTTTGTACACACCTGAGTACTTAACATAGTATTACATGTGTTTGTGCTCATGAGGAGACTATCGAAACATTCAAGGACAAGACAGAGCAGTAAAAAGATCAAGTACTAGCCGCACGTGCATTTACTGGCTGCTTTGACAATTAGGAATGGGAAAATAGGAGACACACTGTTCTGAAGGCCTTGATTGCACCCTCAGTATCCCCTTTATATTCTATGAGAATGATTCTGCTATGTAAAGCAGTTCGTGCATTCCTAGAAGTTATCTGCTAGAAATTATTCAGAAGCAGTTTGTGTTTTAGTGAGACTGCAGGGATAGTTCCCTTCTCTCTGCATGCCCACCTGGCACAGCATTTCTAAGAAGCAGATACAACTCTAGCTTATAATGTAAAACAGAAGAAGGTTCAACGCTTACGGTGTAAGCAGGCATCACAATAATAATCCTCAGACAACTTTCTGAAGCAGGCTCCATTAAAGCATGAAACAGAACAATACCTACCAAAAAAATGTACTAAATATAGGTAGCAGCTGTAAAAGTGCAATTACTGCTCTCCAGAAATGCCATTTTACTTCAGTTTATCTTCACTACTGAAGAGGCGTAGGCCATCTGTACTCTGCACTGCATAGTACACTTGGAAACCAGAATCAACTGAGCTAGCATCAACTTTTTGGCAAAGAGAAAAGCTTTTAATTGGAGCACTAGGAAAACAAACTGCTAATCAGCTCAATGAAACGTCCCTCGCTCAGGTACAGCATACAAGCAATTTAAATATCCTCTAACCCACAGGCACCACAGATAGACAAACAGCACTCTAACACCCCACTGTCTCAGAAGATTTCTATTTGGATAGTACAGGGAAAACAGCGAGAAACACGCTCTCTTCTAATCCATTTACTTACCAGAAGCATCATGCGGTACTTGAAGTTGGGGAATTCACGATCACACTTTTCACAACGATACAGTCCATTTTGTTGGTCTATCACTTTCTTATTGCAATCCTGAGAGGGACATGCCTGGTACATACAGTTCTCTTTGCGCAGATGTACGACTGTGCCCACACAGCTAAAATAATCCGCCTAGGAGAGTGAGTGTGCAACATTAGCCTCAAAATATTCAATGTTTTCCAATTCTGAATTAAGTACAAAGCAAGGCATCCATACTTGGATATTTAGGATTAGAAAGCTTAACAGCTATGGATTATTGGGAAACTGTAAATCAACCCTTCTGTTGCAATCATTTTCAAGCTTCCATTATGTTAAATAAAGCCCCTACAGCAAGATTATTTTGTGTTTCCATTGCAGGAAACTCCAATTGCTAGGCTTTCTTTAGATAAAGCGTATTTGCTTCTCCATTGTGTCTGTTCAAATCTCTACTTTTTCACAGGATTAAGATTCTGCACTTTCCTATGCTTCTTTTGGGAGCCAATACAAAAACCAGAAAGCCTACTGTGTAGTCTTACAGATAAGCATTTGATTAAACTATAGCCTACAGAACAAAATACCCACTCACCATACTAAAATAATCATCCTAATGGTTTAAGACCACGGTCAAGTCTTAAGCAACAGATGAACAGAGGTTGCTTAAGAAGCATGTGCAAAAAATCTCACAGAAAATAGCTGAATTACAGGTAAAGTTTTTTTCCTTAGATAGAAGTTCTTGCGTATCCTGAACAGCTCAGTACTTAAGTTTGGGGAAAAAAAAAATTAAAAATAAGTCAAGAAGCAGTATAAGCCTAGAGAGGTTACTGGACTGGAACGCCAGAGACCTGGGTTTTATTCCTAGCTTTTCTATTGACCAAGTGTGCACCCTTGAAAACCACTTCCTCCTAATGCACCTGTTTCTCCTAGAACATTTTGTGCTATTTATATAAAGATCTTTGGGGTGAACTTCCCCCCATCCCCATTTATACAAGGCTTAGAATTCTCTTGCAAACATAGTATCATGTTGCAACATCAGCAACAAGCTTGAATTTTTTTGAAAAAAAAAAAAAGCTGTTTAATAGCATAAATTCTGACAGAGTAAGCACATACTGCTCAACAACTGGAATACTTCAATAAGCAGAATGCCTGCATAAAGTCTAGCTTTTTATTTTGTCCCCAATACACAAGGCTTGTACTCAGTGGCCATGCTTTACCTTATCTCCTTGCCCCAAGTTCTCAGATTTGGCTTCAAACAAAGTTTTCCAGTTGGTATTCACCCCAGATGCTGGCCCACCCCTCACATCAGAGATCGACGTACATTCCAGAAGCTGCCCCTCAGAGTCAAACCTGGAACCACAAAGATGCACTTCTTTTTTTGGATAGCAGACCATACAGACTTATCAAAAGCTTACATTTAGTTTCATGTACTTAATACATGAGGGATTTTTTTTAATCAATGATTGCAAAGGAAACAATTACAGTAATTTGTGTATACTGCAAACAAAAACAGCATTTCAGAATAAGTTAATAGTCCAACTTAATTAGCACAGTATTTTATAAACCCACAAAAGGAGGACAGCTTTGTTCTATATAACTGCCAGCTAGTGGTCAAACCACACACTACATGCTTCTTAAAGGCAGGCAGATAACAAGATTTAAGGGCATCAAGATATTTCCATAATTAAAATTAAATTACATGGTACCATTATCTTCGCAGCAGCTTCGAAAGAAAAAGCAAATAGCAGTGAACAGATTATACTTCCTATGTTAAAATAAGAAAGCACTGCATTTCAGCAAAAGGTTGGACTGCCGTCCCATTCTGGTGTTTTTTGCAATTTGAGAAACACACCAACAAGACTCAAAAACTGAACTTAATTAAAGTGTGACAGTAATACCTAAGACCCACAATCAATTTTATCTTCGACAACCCTCTGAAGTATGGGAGAGCCACAGCTCAATGACAAATGGAGAATGCCTTTATAGTTTGCCCACGTTTGGGTGATTTAACTAGAACCCGAAAACCCAGGATTCACGAATCTGATGCTGTCGGCCCTTAACCCTATTTGTACATACACCACATGTCACCATACTAGTAGTTATAGCAGACAATTTAGCAACTACCTACAGTAGAAGCAACAAGCCACCAAGAAATCACTTTGTTTTCCTGACAACAATAAAAATGTTCTTTTGCTATCTGAAAAATATCTGATAAGGACTAGACACTGGAAGAAGTCAACATAGTTCCTCCAGTCCATACTAACAGAGTGCGTATCAGATTCCACACAATGGAAAAAGCCTGTGAAAAAGAAAAAAAAATACTGTTCTCTCAGATAATGCCTCAGAAAGCAGAGCCGGTCAAGTCTGATTTCATGCTGCCTTCCAAGGCTTTGGGTCAGCATGCACTACTCCTATTTCAATTTTTCAGGGTCTGTCATGGAATTATAAGTTTTTGAATTGAACAATTTAAAAAGGACAGCCTTTCAGGCTCTAGTGGTTTCAGGGAAGAGAAGTTTCTATAACCCTGAAACCCGTATCCTCTGCTACCTTTCTTCAGTACTATACAGACTGCTGAAGTACAGAGAAACAGCATAAAACAAATACTCTGCAGCAGGCTGGAATATATCAACATAAACACACACTCATACCATCCTCGGAGCTTAAAAGCCTCTGGGCTATCAGGGTTGATGACAACTGTACTCGAGGACAGGACAGACAGGCTTCTACCACCAAAATCAGAGAGTCGGGCTCCTTTGATGGCTATCACAGGTTGTCTAGAACCATCAAACTGTTCAGCCTGCATGTGTGAAAAAACAGAAAACGTTAGTAGCATACTACAGTAAAGGTACTGAACTTGCGGTCATAATTCACAGATTAGAAAGTAAGGTTTTAAACAATATCACTAGGAGTTTAAGAAAAGGAAGCTAACAATTAAAGCTGTAATCCTAACAGCCCACTTCCTGGGGAACCAGAGAATCCTTAAGTCACACCACTGGTTTGGGAGGGGGGAAAAAAAAAAAAAAAGGATTGGTACCCTCCATTAGAAGTTTTACACAAGGATTTTAGAAAGGGAGATGGGTTATGGGAACAGAGGTTTCTCCAAACAGGGGACATTCTTTGGTCAGATTAGACTCTTCAGGAGATGAAACAACTCACTTGGCTTGATTGAGCCAATCATGTCTATTCTATTGCAACTTAAAAGGTAGAAGTGTAGGTATGCTGACCAAACACTTTTCCCCCGACTTTCCATTTTCTGTTTTTAATCTCATAAAGCTGCTTTAATGCTGTTCAATTGCCATCAGTTTGTTATCTGAGTAAAGTTTGACACTGACAAAGAACCTCTCGGCATGAGAGAGGTTTTGATTTTCTGGACCCCACACCACTTAGCAAGCAAGGGGAGGATCATGTGCTTAAATATTACAAATGAGCTGGAGCTAGCAGTGGCATTCACTATATCCATGAGACGCAAAAAGAACACAAAACATATCCCAGCAGTTAAGGCAATGACTGTTATAAAGGAGATACAGATTCTAACCCTAGCTGTGCCAGCTGCAAGCCATACGTCACTTCCCCTCAATGCTTCTTGTTGTCTCCATTCTACAAGCAAGCAAACAGATTTAACTTCGTAAAATGCAGACCCTGATCTCTGTTGGAAGAGTTGTGCCAGGAACTGATTACCAGTAGCCTCTCCTATAACAACCTGGTTCAACCTCAAAACTTTGTGATATTGAACTTCAGTTTACCTCATTTATATCAGCAGATGTTTAATGGTGTTTAGCTACCTATAATATCAGTGCACTTGATCATTTAGCCATAAAGCATCACTGTCGAGCTGGCAGGATCACTTCCATTTTACAGACCAGAACATAAATCCCTAAGTATCTACAACACCGCTGGAAAACAAAGTAGCCTGCTAAAAGGATAAAGAAGCAGTTTACTGCAACTACTCAAACTTTCAATTCCAAGGCTCTGATGCTTTAAACTCCTAGTCTGAGATACAGCCTCTCAACCCCCTAGTTAAGCAGCAATTTATGCAGGGTAACATGCATCCCACCCTACGAATAAAATTCATCTCAAATGAGACAGCCATAGCCACCGGGCTTTTCCATAATCAAACTGCAACTCGTATCCTTTCCTAAACCAGAAGCCTGTTATCTTCAGTTTTTGGGCCCGAGACATAGTGTCTGCAGTTGTTTGGAACACGTTAGTCAGATCATGTCAGCAGTTTGTCAGGGAAAGGTTAAGAACATCACACCTGAATGAAAGCAGTCTCACCTTCTCTCTGCCCCTGATCCTTAAACATCCAGGACTCTTTCTCAGTGCTATGCCCATCTTGGATGACAACAGCACACTCATTTCCTCACCCTACACAAAGGAACCTTCGCTTAAGAACAGGTAAAAGAGCACATACCTCACTTCCCCATAGTGTAGCTGTCACCAGTTTCCCTGATGTATCCATCAGATGCACGTTCCTCTTCGATACCTCCCTATTGTTAGCTTTCCTTGTAATTTTAGTGACATCTTCGTAGCTCTTACAAATTCCAATTACATCTGAAAAACAGTTACAATTTAGTTAGAGTTACTCAAGGGTCACAATTGGGGAATACAAGATCACAAGAGAAGAATTCAAACCTACTGTCAGATTTTTACCTTGTATCCTAGCTCCCTATTCAAATCAAATTTGATATGGAAATTAAGTGTATTATGGTAGGAATGCTCCACTACAGAACTCTTCAGTGCTTTAATTTTGTTGATGAATTCATTAAGATATTCATGAATGCAAGCCTCACCACATTAGCAAGAACAAGGCATTGTACTATCTTTTCCTATCACATTCTGTCAAAGGACTTCAGCCCTCATCCTGTAGCACACTCTTGCTGTTTAAGCACTAATCTCTCAGGCAAGGGGCTTCAAAGTGACTGTAACACAACAAAGCAACTGGCTAGTGCCTCCACTGCAGCCCCGTGAGAGGAAGCTGCAACTTAAGCAAGTCTGCATGTTTGGGTAGTAAGAGCTAACACAATCCCCTTTGCACTGCCTAAAAATATACCATTTTTAATATTACAGATCTACCTTTAAAATTCCTAGCTGAATACCTCTGAATCACAGGCATCTTGTGCCTGTGAAACCTGAGAACCCTCGCCCCCACCCAAGCCTCTGATTTTTCCGGAGTACTGTGCCCAACAAATTACAGAAAAACAAACCTCCAATACTTCACAAAGCAAGCCAAAACAGTCATGCAACTTGGACCTGGATGCAATGAATTATGCCAAAATCACTACAGAGATAATTAGATAGTGAAAGAAAGCAAGACCATGGAAGGTATGAAATGCACACCTGCTGAGCAAGGACATTTTTCTTTCAGCCCTTCTCTGTGGAAAACAGTGATCATAATACAATAAACAAGTATCATTTACTGTCTTTAGTTTGAAGAAAAACCATTATATATTTTTAGCAGAACAGGGAAAAGACATCTTAGAAGGAAAATTGCCCGAGGTATTTTTAATGGCAACCATCACTGGATAACTTCATTTAAGAGATCACAACACTCCAAGCATTGTATGCTCACTCCCTCCCCAGTATTCAGGACACAGAAGTAAAACTTCAAAGCTTTAGAGTTTGCAATTTTGCTACTTAGACTGACCAACAATTGAGTCTTTGGGTGTGTTCTCCAAGTCAGAGATGGATACAAAATCAAACTGAACAGATGGAAGATGCTGGGCATCATCACAGGGCACAACTGAAGTCTCATTAGTGAATGTCATCTCATAGTCATTCTTAACAGCTGTATATTGCTTGTTAGCAGTCTTCAAAATGCCTTTGGTAAAATAATATACCTACAGGAGAAAGCAATGAAACGGAGGATATTAGCACAAGTCAGACAGAGAAAATAGATTGTGCGCACCTTTAAAAATCTTTGCTATGCTCAAGTTCCTCTTTTCTAGCTCATGTCAGTCTATGAAAGCACAATGCACCATACCTTGTTCAATTCAATGAGTGGAAAGAACTTGTCTGCTTGATCATTGAATGCAGTAGCTCTAATCTCACCCTGCAGGAAAACAGGAGCGCTGGTCAGAACTGAAATTTGGCACGAAAAAAAAAAAAAAATCTTTGCAATGTTAAGTGGCATCAGTTCTACAGACAGAGCGCGGTCTGCCAGGCTAGCTCCAGGCATGTGAGAAACAAACAACATTCTCCTCACATTTGTAGTTATAGCTAAAACAACATATTCTACACCTGACCATCAAATCTCATATTCAAGTCTCATTAGTATACCTAGAGCTTCAGAATGAAATGCACAAGAGCTGCATATATCATATATACACCTCTGAAAAGGTACTCGTAAAACTGGCATTAATTGCCATTACATGCAAAAAAAAAAAATCAAATAGATCATGCAGCTCCACGAGTTAGCACACAGTATATTGTGATATCTCCCACTCATACCTGATGTCAAGTCTTTAAGTAAGAATTAGTAACAGTTATAAACTCACTAGATATAAATATTGTTTTTAAAAAAATTTTAATACAGACAGTATGCAGAGAAAACAAATGGCTGATGACAACATGTTACATTATTAACCTCACATTTTATACTAAACATAATGTAGCAGAATCTTGTTTGTTTTCATGACAGAAGGCTGTAATTTGATAAGAGGTTTGACAAACTGCAAGTTTAGTTAGATTAACCAGATACCATTCCCCAAACAAGCCACAGATGAAATTTCCTAGTATTACAATAATTTGTACTCCGATTTCCTCATGAAAATGAAAGCTTATAACTTGGAGGCAATGCTCCTCTCACTCCTTGTTTTGTAATGTGTATCTAAGCAAGGATGAGACCTCATTCTCAATCTACAGGAAACCACCACAAACTTAAGTATTAGGTTGTCAGTTTCCATAAACAACTCTATTTTGAAGCTGCAAAAATTTAGTCACACACTATAGACTTTGATGAAAAATAATCAATAATACCATACATTTAAGACTTCATTCTGGATAAGAACTGGGTCATTGATGCTCTACTTAATGAGTACAGGAACACAAGCTTCAGTCGTAATAAAAAAGCATTGCCTATAATACACTTAATTTCCTCTATTCTGTGTTTATGAAGGGTTCATCAGGATCTGACGTACATTATCTTTTTCTCAACATATGACACTTACGCTTTCATCAACTAGCTCTATAGAGAAGAGTTTTCCTTCACCACGGGAGTTGCTCCATGTGCGGATCTGGCCTTTTTGGGTAACACGAGCACAAATGGTCCACCTGAAACCGTGCAAGAAATCACTGTTGTGTGTCTTTTTTTTTTTAAAAAGAGATTGAATTTACAAACTTTTGGAACTGGAACGTCACTATTTAAAAGCCAGAATCTTTCCACTGCACCTCAGCAACTCTACCTGCTTTTCTGCTGCATTCTGTTTTAATGGCCTAGACCATTAAAGGCAGAAAGTTGCAGAGAAAGCAGCAACAAAGCCAGCCATAAAGCATCTAGTATGATAACAGTAGCAAACAATCCTTCTGCATAGAAGCAGGCCTAAATTTTTTACTCTTCTAGGGTACATTTCTCATTCAGCAGTTTGCCTGTTCTGAAAAGCCATGCTAGAACTCAAGAGCTCAACTACAGGATTCGCATTTAACTTGGGTGATCAAATCAGTTTGCATAACTTAAAAATGTCATTCACAACCTAATTACATCCTCATGCTTTTCAACAGAGCAGTAGCCAAAGTGAATAGCTTACTGAGCTGTAAGAATACAGACAGGTTAAAGCAGTACCAAGAGCTAGGACTGACAACTTTTTTTGCTTCGAAAAAAGTCTACAGGCTGACATTTAAATTGACTGCCTTTTTCAGTATCTCACTATTTAAAGTCTTGATCAAAAAACCGTATTTATAGCTGTACTATCAAATAATTTCAGTCCTGTAACACCTAAACTGTTTGGCCTCAATATCTCAGCATAGGTCACACACCTGTTGGCCAGCTCCAAACTGTAGCCTGCTTGGGTGTCCACAGAGCACTGTTTCAAGAACGCAAAATTGCATCAGACTAGATGTTCAGTTTACACTGCTTCATCAAAGTTGTTTCCTATTTTTTTTCCCCTTAGGGAAGAGGAGGGAAGGGGGACAGACTTTTTTTTCCTCCCCTTTTTAAAAATGTATTATTAAATCCAAGTGTACAGTAGCCTCTTGAGAGAATTCACCTTGTCAAGCTATGGGTTAGTCTTTAATGGAGTCTTTCTTGCGCAACACCATTACAGAAAGATCTTTCTTAAATTTAAGCTGTAGCTTTGCACTGCACAAATGGAAACCAGAATTCCTGCCCAGGATTACTCTTACCTGCTACTGCCAAATTGCTATTTTGTTGCTGTGGTTTGCTGGGTGCTGGGTTTGCTGCTGGAGCTGAAGGACGTTGCTGCCCTTGCCCTGGTAATCAAATGGAGAGAGACCATATAGTACAGTAGGGAGCACAGTAATTAAAACTACCCTAAAGCTTTTTTAGAAAATAAGACTTGCATGAAAAAAAATAATTTAAAACACAGAGAACACACGCTAAAATTCAGGTGTTATAAGACACAGCAGTAGCAAGCTATCTGTTGAACAATATTACCATGGAAGAATTTCAGTCAGATCTCTTTCATCAAGCAACTGCTTTCTACTTTGAAAGAATTCAGGGTTGACAGTTATTTAAAAGGACAGCACTGAAGTAATCTTGACAACTTCTCAGTTTTTACAGGCTGCTATTGCTCTGACAGCTAGTTTCTGCTACTACCTAACAGCTAAGATAAAAACCGTAGAATTCCCTCTTAAAACTCACAAAGGGCCAAAACCCCACTCGGTCAAGTCAAACCTGAAATTAACACAAGACAAAGACAACACCTGCTGCATTTTATTTCCAAAATATGAAGATATTTAATGCGGGGATGATGCAGTCTTAATTTCAGCATTCACCAGGGCTCCTCTTGGGACACAGGAATATATTGCATAGGGAGCAAAGTAATGCCATAGTAAGTACATATCGTACTTTTTTTTAAGATTCCAAGACTTTTACTTGCCTTATATTGATCATAAATTACAAGAGAAAGAGCAGAGTGATATATCTAGAAAGATAGTACACTAGAAGACTAATCTACAGTTCTAAAATTTGAATTATTTTACAGAGCAATTGTCCTATCATATTTTGCCTCCAGATGAGAAAACATCCAACATTTTTTGTCTTTTTGGATGCAGCTAACTCTTAAAGCCATCCGTTTGCAGAATTCCCAGGCCTGAGCAGGCAAAGCCCCCCCGATTTGGGGTGTGAGGAGTAAGATAGTCTGAGAAAGTGGAAAAGGTCAGACCTAGCCTATAAGCATCACGAGGAACAAAAGCAGAGAATCCCAGAACAGAATGGCAAGGAAGGATGGCACACAAGTAAGGTAAAGGAGCAGAAGCAACACAAGGAGACCCTGATGTAGCGTTGCCTGATGTTGTGTAGTCTACAGAGGTAACCCTCTGGTTATTTTCAATCCAAAACAAGGTCCTTGCACAGAACCAATCTGCTCCTCTAACTTGCCGCAGTAGAGTCACATCAGTGAACTAGTGACAGCAGTCTCCCTGGCAACAGAGTGACGTCAAACAGCAATGTGTATTTACTGCAGAATCCGCTAGATGGAGAAGCCAGATCTCACCCTTCCTCAGCCGCCTCAGGTACGCGAAGGACCCAGTCAGGGTCAGTGCTCAACACCCCAAATTCATTTTGTGTGAGAGGAGAAGAAGGGAAAAAACCCAGCAAAACACATTAAGAGAAAAATATGTCTGGTCAGGGAAAGAATATTCAAGAAGAATAGGAATGTGCATATGAAACAGCAAGAGACGTCCTTGCTACTTTTGTTCCAAATGTTTTTTTCCCTAGGACTTTTTAACTAAAAAAACCCACCAAAAACCAAACAAAAGACCACCACATACATTAGAACACTTGTGTATTATGAAACACAAATTCATGTTTTAATGGCTGCCTACCCATAGCGTGGTGTTTCTCAATAGATTAAGAATATATTAACAGATCTGTGCATGTGTTCAAATAGGGAAGTAACAGAAATATCTCTCCAATTTTCTCGCTTGTAGAGTCTAGGGAGTCCTAAACTATGATTTTTGGTGGCTGGTGGCCTACAGATCGCTTAAGGTGCTCAGAAAACTGACTCCTCTGCCTGGTTTTCGCTGTTAGTTTCTATTAGCAGAAGCTGAAAAAAACCACTTGAAATACCTGATCACATTTCTGCTATGTATACTAGGTTAGTCAGCCCCAAGACCTTTGGCCAAAGCTAGCCACACAGCCCACTCTAACATAATAGGCGTATAACGGCAGTCCTCTGCTTCCAATAATCTGTTACCAAGAGGTACTGCTACAGTGCCATGGTGACAGAAGACCTGTCCCAGAACTCAGCAGCAGCATGGCACGGGGGGGGCAACGGAGAAAAAGAACCTTGAAAGAATGCACACCAAATCACGATAGCAGGAAGGGCAAGAAGAAAGAGTTCAAGTGAATGTATAAGTATACAACATTTCAACACTGAAAGATTAATGACAGAAGTTAAACCTAAGTAGCAAGTCATTGTCATAGTAAGAAGAAAGTCCAGCATCAGAGTAACCTGAATGAGGTTAACGACAGTAGTAACACTACCATCTAGTTTTCAACAAGAACTAAACTGCTCAATCTTAATTTTCAATACTATTATGAAATACTGCCTAAAAAGTTTTTATGATACGTATTAAGAAGATTGTCTCTCCAGCGTCCTTGTTAGGCAGATTAACCTCCTACTGCTCAAGCGTAAAGTGGCCAAGAGCCAGCTTCTCACTCCCCGGGTCCTACTGCGGTATTACATCTAGGAAATTCCTTGATCCTAGGTCTAGCAATTTGAGATCTGTATTTCAAGTAGGACTAAACATCTTTTTAAAATACCTGAACTTTTTTTTCCCACGAAAACCACAAAGTGCTCTTAGATACTCATTCTGCATTAGCTGAATGTTCCTCAAAAATACAATCTCTCAATATATACAGGAACTTAAAGAATCTGCAACTTGAAATACACCTCTGCCATTTTATCAAGGCCTTCATGACAAATCAGGCAGCCCCGCAGAGCAGAAAGGCTGGGTTAAGCATACTTAATCTAAACTATTACCGTCTTCTGTAACTGAAACCTTATTTAGTATCAAATGAAAGGGTATGAAGTCTGCAGCATAGCATCAGTGTTAAAATGAAATACACAACATCAAATTCGGCATCTCTTAACTATCTAGTGCAAGACCACACTTACTACGATCATAGACCTGCAACATCTCCGAAAGCATTTCGATTTGAAAACTTCGTTGCCAAGTACTTTTGTAAGGCCAAATGAAGAACACAACTTTGATCAAAGTCATGGTAATTTTACCAAAATTTATAGACTTAAAGGTATATTTTCAGCTCAGTTCTGTAAGATATCACGTTCCCAGTCGTTTCTAAGCAACAATACGATAACCGAAAAACACTATAGTTCACAAGCTCTTGTATCACACAAGCAGGGGAAGTGGGAGAAAGGCACAAAACAGTCTGCTCAATAGCTGTTCTGAATATCTTGGTCTCTACAGCAACTGTGGGATTAAACCATAAAATCTGAGATGTCAACACATTTTTTAAACAGCAATTAGCTAAGTAACTATCAAAGGAACAAAGGATTCTTTAGGCTCATTTAACAAACGCCCCTCTAATTCCCTAGAAAAAAGAAAAGTTAATGAAGAAAGATGTCTTTGCAATGAAGTCTAATTTCTACTTCGATTAGTAAAGTAGATTTTTAACCAGAATGGCAGTGTACCTACCACCACTGTTTGTCAAAAATATCCTACAGAAAATTGTTGCCACTAATGTGTGGTCCCTTAGTAATAAAAATATATTAATTCACTTCCATCTGGAAACAAAAATTCAAGAAGAGCTATTTGCTATTTCAGCCATTATCTGTATATACGTCAATGACAGAGCTGTTCAAATATTTTCTTTAAGCGCTTATTATCCTCTCTCTTTTTTAAAGATCAGAACTGGAAGAACAGAACATACTTTTGAACATATCTCGGGGGGGGGAATGTATTAATTCAAAAAATGTTTGCCTGAGAACTGTAAGCCCAGCACATTAAAATGAAGAACACAATTACTTATGCAACATAATAAAGCCAAAAGACTCGTGGCAGGTCAGATTAAGGTCCACCGAGCGCATCATCATTTTTCAGATGGCAGGGTAGGAATGGGTGCTTAGAAGTCTGTATGCCGGCCGTGTTTTCATACCAGTCTCTCATCTATGTACTTTGAGCAATCTAAGTTTTAGTGCTTCCTGAACCTAACATTCATGCAGAGGATGCATTGTTATGTTTAACAGCCTTTAATGGATTTTTCTTTCACGTCTAATTGCTTTCTGAACCTGTGCCAATTTTTGGCACCTACCTCAACAAGTTCCATAATTTAACTATGCACTGTTTGGGGGTGCGGTACAGCCTTTGTTTTAAAACCACTACCTGACAATACGAGAACTAAAGAGCATCAAATGAACGTAGAAAAGAAAGAGAGATTCATCATTCTTTATTCGTCCCCTCCATGCCATCTTATACTTTCATAGATCATTATTACATCTTCCTCCTGCTGTTTTCTTTCCAGACAGAAGAAATTATAATCTATTTGATTACTCATTATGAGGAGACATAGAATAGCTTCCGCATACTTACTGGAACTCTAAGTAGAGACCACTAATGTATAATAAAAACCTGTCAATGCTATCATAAGGTATAGATACTTCCCAATACCATGCAGAGACTGAAGCTTCAGCCATGGCGTAGAGTTTACGAACAAAACCCATTTTGTGTTACACCAACAGAAAGGATTTTCAAGATCTGGACATCACTGTCCAGGCATAAGAAAACTGAACATGTCTGACTGCTTCTTTTTAAACGAAAAGAAACAGACAGCTATTCAGAAAGGTGTTTCTTTACAGAGGACACTCACCTTCATTGTATGGCACTGGATTGCCAATATTCCCACCAACCATATCAGCAGTTTTCAGAACATCTAAATCCATCAGTATAACCACTCTCCTACAAACACAGAACAGACAGCAATAAAGACTTTCACTCCCTCTGCAAGTCTATCAGGCTCTGAATATCCTTTGTGTGCAGATAAGAGAACCAACATTAGGGGCCGATTCTTTGGAGGAGGGATCTGGAAGACAAAAGCTTTCCACTGTCAACTTAACCCTCTCATGAGGTACAAGTAGGCTTGAAACAGTATCACATTTCATCAAGGACCGAATGGGCACACAAAAATGGCTTGAAACAACGTAGTGTTTTAAAAGTATCAAAACCATGCCAGATTTTACAAGAGAAAATATATTCCCTGCCTCGAAAGAAGTTATATTCCCTCCACAAAAATGCTGAATAAAAAAAAACATGGAACCTCAGTTCATATTCTCCTAGATGAATACCTAGTTTTTCTATAATCAATTCACCCAGATCCCTTCTCATTTTGCAGTGTCCTACCTCCCTTCCCTCAAATTTTCATAAAAGACAGACCAGATTCCACGACACCTGAGTAACAAGAAATCTTCACTGTTTCTTTTCCACAGCAGATAATTTTAAGAGACTTTTAATGAAAAGTTGTACAATTTGGAGTATTCCAACTAGAAACTTTAAATTACTAAATCCCTGTACTAGATATATCTGAACCCACTGCAGTCACATTCTGTAATTTTTTTATTTCTGCTATTGCTTGTGCTATGTACTTTCCCTCCTGCACCTAAAGACTGAGTATTTTCAGATTAATCCCAATCAAAAGCATTTGGCCTCTGCTTAGTCACAAAGGACAGAGCACCCACTAGTGCAGCCGCCTTTCTGTACAACTGTACTTTAAGAAACATATATACCTTCCATCTTTCAGGGTGTTGACAATGAATTTGTTAACCTGGCAAATACATTGGGCTGACACGCGTTCCTCTTCCACCAGAAAGTTCAGCTGTGTCGCCAACATGAATGCTGCAGAAATAGAAGAAAAAACAATGAAACAATTAACACCTGCCAGCCTTAAACGGGGCTGCCATGGCTGGCCACAACTTTGCCAGCCAGTCTGCTAGTGTTGCATTAGATCTACAACTTGCTTAGTTAGTTAACACATAGAAAACAGTGTAACTGCTAACAAGTCACCAAAACTGAGCATAAACTATACTGTATTTATTCTCCAAACTTCAGGGTGCAGCAATAGCTAGAACGATCATAATCGAAGAAGTCAGAGAAAGATTAAGCTAAATTACTTTAAAATCACTGTTACAAAAACATGTATAGGTTTCTATGTTTTCATTATACCCTGTAGCAAGTTAATTGCTTAAAGCTCACAAAGGAAGTCCCAGAAGAGAAGGATTTTCTCCAAATGTTAAAATGCAGTTGCACACGTCACAGTCTGTGGCCCCCATATGAGCCACATTCTCCTTCAATACTCATTTCATCACTACGCACCTAAACACTAGACAGGAAACTTTAGCACCATTAGTATCTCCACACTTACAAAAACCTCACTACAGCTTGTCGTACTTACAGGAGAGTGTGTTAACCCCATCACTCATCAACACTCGGTAACGCGGTGGCCCATTTCCTGTAGCAATAGCCCGTGTATTCTGTGCGGAAACAACAGATTATTAGTTCTCGTCTGTTCAGAAACTCTTCAAAAACATAAAGCGACATCGTCAGCAAATGACCTATCTATTCAGCTTTTTTTTTTTTGAGCGCTGATATCAAGGGGATAGCCCAAGTCACGTAAAACGAAATTAAGAGTACATCAGCCTCGCTGGGCCCCTCTGCGGAGGAAGCCTGGCTGTGCTCAGGAGCCTGTGCGGAAGCGCACGCAGTTACCAATAGACTGGCACAAGAGGTAACGGAGCGTACTCACGATGACTTGCAGCACGGGCTTGGAGATGTCCTCCCCCCGCATTATGGCCTGGGGAAAAGAAAAAGGGACCCTCAGAAAGGTGCCACCACCTCACTCAGGAACGCTTCGAGACCCGCAGCTGAGGGGGAACTGCCCTGGAATGGCCAGAGACACGGGAATGGCCGTCACCGCTGGACCCGGCCAGGGCCCTCCCTGCCTCCCGGGACCGGGCCCAGCTCCGGGCCCGGTTTCTCCCCTCAGGACCGGGCCGGACTTGGTGCCCAGCTCCCTTCCCCCCGGGCCCAGGCCGGGCCCAGT